TTATGTATGCGGCCTGTGTAAAATAGGCATACAGGTCCGAGCAAGAATGGAAGCTGGAAAAGGATTAAAAAAAAAAAAAGAAAGAAAAAAAAGCAATCCTTTATAGGATCCGTTCAGTTTCCCTAACTCCAGAGGAGTTTGAAAAGAAATGATGGGGTGGAATTAACTAGATGAGGCGTCCTAAAACCTGTTTACCGTAGGGAATTTCTTTCTCAAACCCTAACTTCCCCTCCTCATGCATCTCCACCTACTTCTCAAGCCAGAAGCTTCCCCTGGGACCTCATCCAGGTGCAAGCACCAGAAGTCCTCCGTGACCCCAGGCCCGAAGTCCCGCCTGGACTGAGGCAAACCCCCACCACACCGGGCGGTTGTGCCCTCGATGCCTGGCCCTCCCTACTGTGCCCTCCCCTGCTAATGCCCTGCCTTCGCTGCTTCTGCTGCTGAATTCAGCTGAGGAAATCAAACAAGAACTGATCGATTCTGCTACAAATCAGTGGTTTCCAGCTTTGGCTGAGCCACCAACACTGTCCTGCAACCGCCTTTGCAGCTCAAGTTGGTTCCTTTTCCATTCCCCTCAGAGGCAGCAGCCATCAAGCCCAACCTTCACCTCCGTGTCTGTTAATGAACCTGTGTCCTCGCTGTATGCCAGGAGCTGTCCAAAGAACATTCACAACAGTTCTATGGGCAGGAAATAGTGTTTTCCCCATTTTGCGGTGCCTGGGTAGCTGAGCATGAAGTCTGTTTAAGTTCTCTCCCTCTGCTTCTGCACCTACCCCACTCTGTCTCTCAATAATAAATACATATATATATATAAATCCTCATTTTACAGATGAGAACTCTGAGGCACAGAGATCACAGACCAGGGAAATGGCAGAGCCAGAATTTGAGTGTGTGTTTTTATCATTTACCGTGTGTGGCCTCTGCTTAGAAAACAGAGTCCCTCCATGTATGCCCCACCCCCATCTCATCACTTACCTGCATCTCTGCCTGTCCTTGAATCCTTCCCTTTCTACCCCTAAGTCTTCTTCCCAGAAGACTTGCTCTGACAATTATTTTCCCCTTATCCCACTACTGAACTTGCTCCATGGAAGCTTCTGGTAAAACCTTGTTTGCCAAACAAGAGGCCTCTCCCTTCTAAACGTACGGGAGGTACTTTTTCAGCCACCAGTTGCCCTCACCTGAAGCCTTGCCTCCTTTAGTTTCCATGAGACTGCTCTCCTGGGTCTTCTACTTCTGCAGCAGATGTTCTCACTTGTTTTGTTTTTTCAATGCAAATGTTGGACGCCTACCTCAGACCACGTGACTCAGAAACCCTGGCTCTGGGGTTCAGGCATTTGTGGTTTTTCAAAGCTTTTATGGCTAAACAGCTGGGGTAAAAACCGTTGCTCCCAATGGTCTGACACAACAGGTAAATATGCAGTTATTCCACTTATAAAAGGTACCCAGAGAATCAACTCCATGGAGATGAAAAGTAGAACAGCAGTCACCAGGGACCCTGCAGGCTCACATCCCTTCCTGCCTTCCTGCCAGGCTAATTCCTACTCGTGCCTCAGGCTCAGCTCAGGGCTGGTGCTAGGCTAAGTGGAAACTGCATTCTCTCTCTCCCTTGGAAATGTCATTTCTTCTGCAGCTGCAGCTCTAAGCTACATATTCTTCATCCCCAAATCTACCTCCAGCCCTGGCACTGCTCCTGAGTTATGATGCACATTCACATTTCCCACCTGCTTGTCTTTCACAAGATACTATTTTCCTCGGGCACCTCAAACCCTACACGTCCAAAACTCAAGTTATCATTTTCCTCCTTTCTACCCTGCTTTTCCTCCTGTGTTTTCTTTTTTGAAAACTAGCAGCAATATGTACCGCGCTATCAAATGCTTGGAACTGAGCTTGGTAGCTATTATCATTATGTGAGGATTGGTTTGGGGCGCCTGGGTGGCTCAGTTGGTTGAGCACCCAGCTCTTGATTTCGCTTCAGGTCATGATTTCACGATCTCACGTCGGGCTCTATATTGACAGCTCAGAGCCTTATTAGGATTCTCTCCCTCTCTCTCTACCTCTCTCTCCCTCCCTTCTTTCTCAAAATAAAAAAAAATGTAAGTTAACAATATTATTAACAATAGAATTATGACAGAGACTTTAAGAACATGGTAAAGCTGGTGGTGAAGTACCTACCACTCTATAGCATCTGTGTACATAAGATAACTTTAAAAAAATCACTCTCTGAAATATCAAGGTAGAAAAGGAAGAGTTTAATGGTGTAACGTGCTTGTACTGGAGGCTAAGTACTATGGTTGATTATCCCCCACAGCACCATTAGTTACATTAGCCTAGAAAACCTCCTTTGCAAAGTGGAGATTTGGGGTGCTCAGTCGGTTGAGCGTCCGACTTCGGCTCAGGTCATGATCTCGCGGTTCGTGGGTTCGAGCCCCGCGTCGGGCTCTGTGCTGACTGCCAGCTCAGAGCCTGGAGCCTGTTTCAGATTCCGTGTCTCCCTCTCTCTCTGACCCTCCCCTGCTCACGCTGTCTCTCTCTCTCTAAGAAATAAAAAAAAAAAAAAGAAAAGAAAGTGGAGATTTGCCAGAAGACCTAATGAAAGATAGAAATGGCAAGATATATCGGATAAATAGAGTAAGAGGATGACCAAAGGTTGAGCAATTTCATGTGTCTCTAATCAAGATGGGCTATAGATTATAGAGGACTATTAAAATATGTATCGAGGATTTACTAACTTAACAAAATTAATGTAACATTGTCAACGATGAGCCCTTATGAATGGATAAATAAAATGTGGTATAACATACAATAGAATATTATTCAGGCTTAAAACGTAATGAAATTCTGACACATGCTACAATATGGATGAAGCTTGAAAACACTATGCTAAGTGAAATAAGTCAGACACAGAAGAAGAAATATTGTCTAATTGCTCTTATATGAAGTACTAAAGGAGTCAAATTCACAAAGACAAAAAGTAGAATGGTGGTTTCTAGGGATAGGAGGGAGCAGGAAATGAGGGTTATGGTTTAAAGGATGCAGACTCTGGGGCACCTGGGTGGGTCAGTCAGGTAAGAATTTTAATCTTGGTTTTGGCTCAGTTCATGATCTCAGGGTTCGTGAGTTTGAGCCTTGCATCAGGCTCTGCTCTAACTGTAGGGAGCATGCTTGGGATGCTCTCTCTCTCTCTCTCTCTCTCTCTCTCCCTCACCCTCCCCCTCCCCTACTCACTCTCTCAAATAAATAAACTTTTAAAAATTAAAAAATAAATAAATAAAGGGTATGAAGTTTTAGTTCAGGAAAATGAAAAAGCTCCAGAGATGGATGGTGATGATAGTTGCACAGCATTGTGACTGTACTCTATGCCTCCAAACTGTACATTTTTAAATAGTTAAAATGGTAAATTTTATATTATGTATATTCTACCACAATAAAGAAAACTTTAAAAAGAGCCATTAAGCTCAATATTTAATAGATAATTACAAAGTTTCCTTAAATATATTTTCCCTAATAATAGGCAAAACTTGCAAAATTTTATTAATAAATTTAATTTAAGATGGAATGTCGGTAAAAAGAACAGGTTAAAGACAGCTTTCAAATATACCCAATTAAAGTTGGAAAGAAATAATTAAAAACAAAATTGTAACTTACATCAAAAGAATAGATGCAGGAGGAAGATGATAGTTCTTTCAAAGAATAAGGAAATAGGGACATTTTGGTTAATACAATAGTCAATTAGGACAGAAATCATAATATAAAAATCAGTCCCTACACTTCCGTCTTTATACAAGTGAAATATTTAATTTTGAGAGTCATGTTGAAAATGAAGAATTGTGAATATTGAAATTGCTATTGTTATTCTATTTTCAATCGAATTCTCTTCTACTAGAAAACTTAAAATAAAAAATATGTCCTAAAATAATGAAGCTAGAATGTCTAACGTGTTCATCCCCAGCTGCTCTTGTAGAAGCTTTAGTAGAGGCTGTGGTCCCAGAATATCCATGTGCTTCTCCATGTCCTCCAGGCCCCCTTACCTTTGGGCTGGGACAGGGTACTACTTCTGGCCAGTAGAAAGTAGCCAGGTAAGATGTGTCACTTCCAGACTAAAGCAGTTAAAAGCCAGTTTGCCATTTCCATATCTCTATTTTCCTGTCCTAGTGACTTAGCAGGTAAGAAGATAACAGAATCACAGGATGGAGGAGTTTTGCATCTCCAAGGTGCTGCATACAGACAGGCCTGGCCAGCTTGGACCTTCTATAAGAAATAAACTTTTGTTTTTTGAGTCACTGAGACTTGGGAGTTTGTTACCATAATATAGCTGCCTTATACTGGCTAATACAGGGGGGTATCCTACAGCTGCTACAGTGGGAATCATTATCAGATTCCCTACTCATTGCAAGAATTAGTTCTACCTGTGACTACTTTTAAAAATTCCAAAGTAGGGGCACCTGAGTGGCTTCGTACATTAAGCAGCTGACTCTTGGTTTCAGCTCAGGTCATGATCTCACAGCTTTGTGAGTTTAAGCCCCACATCGGACTCTGTGCTGATTGGCACAGAGCCTGCTTGGGTTGGGGTTCTCTCTCTCTCTCTCTCTCTCTCTCTCTCTCTGTCCCTCCTTCTGTCTCCTCTGACTCCCACTTTCGCTACCTGCCCCCACTCTGCCCCCACTCACGTGGTCTCTATCCCTCAAAAATAAAATAAACTTCAAAAAAATTCCCAAGTAGCCTTCATTAAATACTATGAAACACTAGAGGGCATAATTGAGTTGTGGAAATTTTGGGCCCAGATTGTAAAGGAAGCAAGGTATGGAATCAGGAAAATTAAACAACAGAAAAATGGGTGATGAAAATTAGTTTTGGAAACAATTGTTTTCTTTGAAAATCTTTTAACTACATTTCACCATTTGAGGTCACTGAATTAAAAGTGAATTTGCAATACTTTAATACGAAACCAATAAATTCCCAAAACACGTAAAACATACACGTTTATAAATATGAACACTTACCTTGGAAAACGAGAGGGGGGGTGTTCTCTGAGTAAGAGAAGAGTTTATTTCCCATCTGTATTTCTTTTTTCTTCAGATATGCCTATCTACCGGCGATGACTATTAGGCCAAGGGAATCCGTACATTTTCTAACCTGGTCGGCTTAAGAAAGCTAAAGTTTTCTAAGGCCGTTTTCATAAGAGGCGACCAGATGTTCCAAACATCAAGCTGTGACAGGAAGCTCCCCACCCACTTCGAATGTCATGCTGAGTTCTGAGCAGACTTCCCTTTCCCGTTTCCTTTTTCCCCTCTCTCTAATTTTTTTTCTTCAAAGTCTATTCAAAAGCTGCTACCAAAACGGTCTTCCTCTATTGTTGTTATGATGACATCATTCCCTTCCCAAACACCCCCTTGTCTTAAGCCTCATAGTCAAAGCTTGCCTTCATTCCCTTGGACTGCCTCTGTTATGCCTGCCTTTACTTCATTTCCCTGCTATTTCCTGCTTCTCTTCGTCAGTTGCTACATCGGATTGTCATTTTTGATGTCCCACTGTTGAGGTAACTATTCATCTTTCCTTTTAACAAAGAGAGTCTTCCCATTCCTCTATCCCAGACTTGCCCAGATCTCTTCCAAACCAATTTCATTTGTACATGCATTGTTCAAAAACACAGCAAGCCTTTCTGCCGGATGGCCATTGTTTTGGGCACTATCACTGTTAGAGGGGGTACAAAACATTAAACTCAAAACTATCAGGAAGCTGTTCAAGTTGGGGCTTTATGAATCCAACTGGAATTCACTCTCCATTAGAGACTGAAGGGATAGAATTACAGGAGGAAATTGTACAAGGATACCAAATAACTACACCATCAGAGTGGCAGATTTGGGGTGATTCTAATTTTTTTTATCATTTTGTCAAGACTATAATTTCAGGGGTGCCTGGCTGGCTCAGTCGGTGGAATATGTGACTCTTGATCTTCGGGTTGTGAGTACAAGCTCCAAGTTGAGCACAGAGATTACTTAAAACACGCATGCGCGCATACACACACATATTTTTAAAAAAGACTATAACTTCAATATAAAAAGTGAGTCTTTTTTTTAAATACAGATTTGAGAGAGAGAGAGAGAGAGAGCATGAGGAGGGGAGGGGGAAAGGGAGAGGAGGAGAGAGGATCTGAAGTGGGCTCTGTGCTTCCTGCAGAGAGCCTGATGGGGGGCTTGAACTTACAAACTGTGAGATCATGACCTGAGTCCAAGTCAGATGCTCAACTGACTGAGCCACCCAGGTACCCCCCAAAATTGAGTCTTAAATTGGTGCTAAGGATATAAGTTCTTCACCAAATTACAAAAATGATCCCGATTTCCACTGCATACCAAGCTCCTATTTAAAAAATTGTTTTTAATTGGGGCACCTGGGTGGCTCAGTTCATTAAAGCACCTGACTCTAGATTTCCTTTTCTGTTCCAGGCACTGAGTGTACTGTGTTAGGTGCTAAATATATCAGGATCAGAGTGCCTAGGTGGCTCAGTTGGTTAAGCTTCCGACTTCAGCTCAGGTCATGATCTCACAGTTTGTGAGTTTGAACCCTGTGTTGGGTTCTGTGCTGACAGCTCAGAGCCTGGAGCCTGCTTCAGATTCTGTGCCTCCCTCTCTCTGTGCCCCTCCCTTTCTCATGCTCTCTCTCTCTCAAAAATAAATAAACACTTAAAAATTTTTTTAAATTAAGATACCAGGATAGATAAGATAAAGGCTCTGCCCTTAAAAAGTCCAGTGCAGTGAAAGTAGGAGGCATTTGATAGAAAAATTCATGTCCAAGTCAAGAGCTGTAAATATCAAGTCATCAGACACCTTTATCTCCTACTCTACCCTCTATATACCCCCCCAACTTCTGGCATTGTTTGCACTCTATCTCCACACACATTTTGCGCTCTGAAAGTCTGCCTAAGTCATCTTCTTTCCTTTGAGGAATGTCTTTATGGAATTGATTTCTTCATATGTGTCACTGCCTTTACAAAGCTCTTTTCAACTGCCTAGTAAGATCTCCCTCTACTCTAAATTCCCAAAGACTTTATTTTCTATGCTCTTCATTAGCATGTATCAAATATGAGCTAATATTCATCTTTGTGTATAATATTCTAGGTGCTAAGCTCCTAAAAGCAGGATATATTATTATATTTCATTCAGTATAGCAAGCATTTCTTGTATAAGAATAATGATTTCTACTATTGAATAATGAAGGGAAACTGGGGAATCATCTTTCAATGTCCTGATTTTTCATAATCTACACAATGAGGAAAATTCTTAATAAAGGGAATTTTATGTAAACTATTTTTTGTTACCAAGAGGAAAAAAATAAGTAGGCTACAAATATAATAGTTTGTTTATAATGTCATTATGACAATAAGGAAATTAATCAGTATCTATTACTGAGATTAGATATTTTCTGTCCATGACAAATATCCAAAAGTATTCCCTTATGTAAGGATTCTAATCTATAATCAATAGTTGAATTCTAACTTTTGAAAAATGCCTAAGCCATATACAATTTGTAGTTCAAATTTATTGATATGTGGTTGAGGAACTGAGCTCTCTAAGAAAACAGGCAGGGCTGGGAGCACCTTTTTATTGTGGAGGCAGTGGCAAAAAGTGATTATGAATCAGACTTGATTAAAATAGTGATGCCACCTGTTATAACTGCACAAACTTGGACACACTAGCCTTACTAGGTCTCATGAAAATTAATAAATTAGAATTTTATTCTCTATCTTTTGTTATAAATTAAATAGGATATTCATCACAAAAAATATTTCTGACTCTCAGGACATTTGAACCTCATTTATACCCAAATTTGGGATTTATAGGGTTGTTGTGAGGGATTAAAAGAGCTATGATGATGTGAAGTACTAGTAATTTGTCTGGTACCTTGTGATTGTGAAATAAATAATACCTGCTGTTAAGAAGAGACAATAGGTGCAAAATGGAGTCACTTCTGCTAAGCCTACCTCAGCAAACCAAGACCTAACACCCAATTTAACTGCAATTTCAACCTCTCCTGGGAAGGTAATCTTAAACTAGTCAATCTGGAATTTCCTGGTCAGCAGTACAGTGTAGAGCCTGCTTGGGATTCTCTCTCTACCTCTCCCTGCCCCTCTGTCACTTGTGTTTACACTGTCTCTCAAAATAAATAAACAAATAAACATTTAAAAAGTTTACCCAGGGGTACCTTAGGTGGCTCATTCAGTTAAGTGTCCAACTTTAGCTCAGCTCATGATCTCACAGTTTGTGGGTTCAAGCCCTGCATTGAACTCTCTGCTGTCAGTGCAGAGCCCACTTCAGATCCTCTGTCTCCCTCTCTCTCTGCCCCTCAACTTCTCTCATGTGTGCATTCTCTCTCTCTCTCAAAAATAAATAAACATTAAAAAAAATTTACCCAGTTGAATATGTTTAACACTGCCTTAGCAAATAAATGGCCAGAAAGCTTGTAACTTGTTTGTGTCTCCTCACACCAAGTTCTTCATACTAGTTCTGCATTATTTCTATGTGACTAAAATCTCTTGTTAAATGTGTTCTTCCTCTGCCTTGTGGGATTTCATAATCCGATTTTTCTAAAATAGGTTTATAGGTTAGAAGTTTATCTCTCTGTTATGCTTTATTCAAATGTTTTTACTTTACATTAATTAATGTTCTTTGTGGGGATCATTATTTCAAGCTCCAAGAGTATGATTATAGAGGTTTTTGGTTTTTTTAAAGAAACTCAACCTAAGGTCTCCCTCCCTCTTTAAGTTACATGATGAATTTGCAAAATTCTATCTAAACATCTACATTGTTCCTGACCCAGTAGACATTAGCAGCAGGATTTAAATTTAATAATTCACAATGAAGCATTAAAAAGGAAATGTGAAAAATGTACATGTGTTTGTAACATAAAGGAAATATTCATGATTTGAGCTGAACCAAAAAGAATAATAATAGTCTGTAATTAAACTAAATCTTCTAAATGTTCCATAGTAGTAAACTACAAATCCCATAGCAGATAAAAGCCAAAGATTGAAAGTATTACATTTGTTTCAAATAACTGTTATAATGGAAAACATACTAAATACTGGAGAAAACAGCAACATTTCAGGGCTGTATAGTGGGAAAAACTACGAGACATGGCTCGGAGAATCTGGGGCTTAACTCAAGCTGGATCTCTTAATACCAAATTATTTTAACTGAGTTTCAGTTTAAAAGGAGGGGAGAATAACCTCACAGTTTGTGGAGAAGATAATTTAAATGACTTAGCATATAAATCATGGCAAGTGCTGGGTAATGCACACTCAACAAATGATAGTTTTCAACTTTCATTACTAAGAAATCAGAAGGTACTTGAGCAGCAGGGACCATGTCAAAATAATTTCTGTGGTTGTTGATTTTAGTAGAAGAGTGAGTGTGTATGTGTGCCACAGAATATAGCTATCATCAAAAGGAAAAAAATAGGAAGACAGAGAATCTAGCATTTGTTGCTGTTGTTTTAACTGCATTGACTTCAGCCATTCATTTAAATTCTGTTTCTTATTTCTCATGCATCTTATTATCATTTCCCTTTTTTAGAAGCTAATTAGAAAAATTTGGAGAGAAGGAAAGACACTAGACATTTTTATGACCAAATTCAACTGAACTAAAGTTGAATAAATCTTCATATTAATAGAATGAAACAAAGAAAGTTACAGGAGTTCTGTTTTTTTCTAAGGGAAAACTATTTATTATAGAGAAATATTTCTTTCTCTCTCTCTTTTTAAGTGAAAAATTTCTGCTACTCAGCCAAAACCTTGAGATCTACAGAGGGCACTGGGAAGAGAGTTGATGGCCTTAAATGATGTGTTGACTATCCCTCCCCCATTCTTTTAATGCTTTCTCAAATGTGGTTTATTTAATATTAAGGAAACATTTTTTTCTTTTTTAAAATCAATATTCACCACCCAAAACACATAATTTTATAATATTAAGTAGAGAGGGACTACAAGATTGTAAGTCAGTTTAAAACATTTTAAAGTTTTTTTTTTTTTTAAATGTTTTATTTATTTCTAGGAGAGAGAGAGAGACAGCATGAGCAGGGGGAGGGTCAGAGAGAGAGGGAGTCACAGACTCTGAAACAGGCTCCAGGCTCTGAGCTGGCAGTCAGCACAGAGCCCGACGCGGGGCTCGAACCCANACAGACTCTGAAACAGGCTCCAGGC